TTAGAAAGAAAGAAAGAAAGAAAGAAAGAAAGAAAGAAAGAAAGAAAGAAAGAAAGAAAAAAAAAGATTTGTCTGTCAAAAGGCAACTTATGAGGAAACTGTAGCTGTCTGAGAGTGTTTTTTAAGCTTTTTGGTGTATTTATTATAACCTCATATTTTCATTAACACTGACAGTTCACAACCATTTCCATAAATATTCCACTGAACTATTACACAATCTGTCTCATGTATCTGATGGACTTTTGGTGCACGTTGTGGCTTTTGTTTCCTTAACCAGGTCATCTACAGAGTGCTGGACCCGGCCATCAGGATTGAGGATCCATACAGCCCCAAAATCCAGAGTAAGGTCACAAACCAGGTCGCGTTCAACTTTGACAAATGACATCACGCTAATTTGGGAGTTATGGAACCGAGTACCAGAATAATAAAAACAAGACGAAGCCAATCTTTTTAATTTACGACCACATCCTGAAACGCAGTTTGATGAAGTAACCCGCACAGTTAAACAAATTCATCACAGTCCAACTTCAAACTTTGGACGTAAGTCATTTCAAACTCATGTTTGGAGTTTTTTTTTCCAGCCTTTATGGCGACGGGCCGTGGCTGTTGTGGTCCAGCTGTGACACATGGCGGATCTCCCCCCGGGGGTGTGAAACATGGCCCCGCTGTGTGAAAGACAGGGCGAAATGCGAAAAGCAGCTGTTTCTCTCCCACACGGCCTGGCCGTCTTATGTTTAGACTGGCAGGACTTCAGAGCTGTTCCCAGAAAGCCTAAATAGGTTTCGGAGTGGGCCGCGCTCTGCTGGGGGACGAGTCAGTGGAGGCTCCCGGTGTGGAGACCTCTATTTCCCTCTCTGCTGAGAGACCCGGGTTTGATCTGTGCTGCTGTCAGCACAAGAGAGAGACTGAAATGCTCAACAGACAGACTCAGGAAGTCATTTGTACCTAGGGCCATAATACTGTACAAAGCTTCACTGAAGAGCAAAGGGGAAGTGGACTTTTCTGCATAGTCCATCGGCACATAGTGACATGCATATCTCCTCATAGTGACATACAGACTGATGGAAATATACTCTGTCTGACTCTACTGGCTACACTAGCCAAATGCACTTTTAACATGCATGTTTTAAATTAGTATTTAATATCTAGTATTCTAGTGCTTTTTCGTACTTATATGTTGTGTGTAATGTCTTAAGCTGCAGGGACCTTGAATTTCCCCTTGGGGATCAATAAAGTATCTATCTATCTATCTATCTATCTATCTATCTATCTATCTATCTAT